TCTTCAGTTCTTTAATTGAAATGTGCATTGCTAACAGCGGAGCTATCTCAGCCGATAGGTTGCTTGTCTTTATGCTAGTGATTCTTGCGGGCCCAAAGACAGGTCCCGGTAATAATAACACAAAGTATACAATTCAGTTGCAGGTCAAACTAAATAGCAGTGGAAATAAATCAGGCGGAAGTGAGTAATAAGCGTTCTCTCGACTCGACGTTGCTACACACATGTACAAAATCAACACATCGCGTCAGTACTATAAGTATTTCAAGACCGTTATTTTAATTTTACTTCGATTTAGTTGACTGGTACAGTTTTTGCCCTGATGTATCGTATTTTCAATGGCTTTTTAATACATGATTGGCAAAATGAAATAACTTAAGACCAGCTTTGTTGTAAACATGAACTATCCTAGAAAAATTAAGTAACTATCGGAAAAAATTGCTGTGTCCAGAACAAAAAGTCGTTACGTTTTCTTAATTATACATTCATGAACATTACTATGGAGATAGTTCATACATACAAATAATTGTTACTTTCCTAAAATATGGTCAATTTTGGCTAAAAAAAATATTATTTGGCAACTCAATGGGTGATCTGATCTGAATACAGAGAATGCCTGAAATGCATTTGAGACTGAGGATTCCCGATGTGTGTCCTCGCCATTCAGTAAAATTTAGCAAAGCAAGAGCCACCAGTGTTGCTAAGACGCATGTTCATCAGGGATTAGGCCGATTGACATCTCTATACAATAGCGTTGCCAGTCTGTTTATTAGTTGTCTGAGGATGAATGACTCCTTTATGATGAAGTGATGTTGTATAAGATCAAGTGTAGGATGAAACCATTCTCAAATACAACCCCCTTCCTACCTCCAAATAAAAGCTACAAACACATACTGTAAAATACTTATTTTCACTGACGTTTGATAAGTTGAATGTAAAATATATGAAAATATGATTTTATTCTCACGGAATCATCCCTTCAGTGAAAATAAAGTATTTTGCAATATTAAGAAATTTGTTACTAGTAAATAATAAAAACACTTTTTAAAGAAACAATGAAATGCAAAGAAATCTTAAACAGTGCTATCAAAAAATTAGAAATTAGGAAGGCAATTTATTTAGTAATTTCAAAAACAAAAAAAATTTTCTAGTGAAGATAAACATTGTATTAAAATGATCAAAATTATAGAAGATTACCTCACAAATGCATAATTCATAAAACACAAGTTTAATGATTTAGATTCAAAACTAAACACAATCAACTCTCGGGTTATTGTCATCTCAAGCTGTCTAGAACTAAAAATAATCATTAGCATTTTGTACTCCATGTTAGTAACTTACGTTGTGTACCTTGAAAAAATTAATATTCTTACAAAACAAAAAGTTTGATTTCATAAAAATGATAAACAGATAACTACAGTAAGAAACAAACAATAGACAAACAGGAAACTCGAATATATTTCATGCATGTTTTGTAGATCTAAGAAAGGCATTTAACAGCCTTTATTCAAGACTTCAAAAATACAATGTCACAGGAAAATGTTCAATATTGTTAAGAAAATCTATCAATTTCAAGTCAAAACTAACTAACACAATTCAAAACTAACAATGGATTAACAACTTATTTTTTATCAATTTCCAGTATCAAACAAAGTTGCAATTTGAGTCAAAATCTATTGAACTTATTCATTAACAACCTCCCAGATAGTTGTGATTCACCTCAATTACATTCAAATTGCCAAATTTATCATTTATGCTGACGACCTCGTTCTTCTATTCAAATCAAAACATAGATTTACAAACGTGCCTAACAAAACTTGCCTTGTACACCTAAGTTTGTTGTTCATTTTATTCATAGTTTCTGACTGTTTTGTTTTGCCCAGATCCCATATCAGAGGCTAGGGCTCTCGGTAAACACCATCCTAGAGATGCTAGATTTCTACACTTTAATGCGGAAGATACCATAATCATTTTTAGTAAGAATGCTGGCAAGAGACAAGACCTCTGGGGTGGAGAGGTAAAGTATGATAATATTATCACTACCATGTACATTGTTATATATGGGTTATCTGATTTGATGTAGTTGTCACTTCATAATGCCCCAGGCTCTGAAATGTGATTCTGACTTAGTAACTCTCATTTCTACAGGTTTCTGGTAAAGCTGGGTTAAGAGGATACTTCCCAAAAAATTTTGTACAAGAGCTCAAGTTATATGAGCCCCAACCTAAACATGTAGTTCCAACTCTGGTGAGTGAAGTTTTTTTTTTCCACAGTTGATTATTGTCATAAATTTTATACAAAATGTCAATTGATTCAATTGTCAGCTTTTTTGAATTTTCCATAAATAATATGGGTATAGGTAAAATAATATGCTAGCCTAAAAGTAATTTGGTATCTTTGAACATTCACAGAATGACCCAGTACCTACAATGGACGATAGGATATATGAGACAAGTTCCTCACATAGTATCCCACAAAGACAACTACTTCCACAAGGTCACCAACCTCCTGTATCACATGAACAGCAATCCTTAATTGACCAACAGCACTCTCTTGACCAGACTGGAGCTGACACAATAGAAATAAAGGAAGATCATAAAAATACAGAATTGAGTGATGGAACTGGAGATGAATTCATTGATATGAACTATAAACCAATAATTGAAGTGGTACCTGACGTAGCTGATCAGGATGGCATTTTTAATCATAATCTACCAGATATAACCAATGATCCTGGCAAAGTCACTGAGCAACAGGATTCTTTT